CCATACTTTTAATATTCCTGAATGTAAAGTTTTCCGTTTTCACATTTTTCGAATCTCCAATAAGTCTTATAATTTACAATGTTTTTCGGGTATTTCTTCATCTATTCTAAAACTCAAAAAGCAAATTTCAAAATTTTTGTCATTGAAAGAGGGAAAAAAATTTCGGATGATTTTAATTCATGTCTTATTTCATACTTGACGATGACTTAAGTTGTTATGGGAATTTAGAGGATGGGACAATGTGATTATTACAGAATAACTTGATAGAAATAAATTTATGATTTTTATGAATCATTTTTATTTATAATGTTTAACAGTTGCATAGGTGTAGCCAGATGCCTCCTCTTCGGAAATTTTTCTGTGTAAATATCATTCTAATAAAAAAAATCCCCCTAGCTAACTCAATATTTCATACAGAAAAATATTACGCAAGCCTGAAGATTTTGCTCATAGAAGGAACAAAGGTCTAGACATACATAATCGAAATCTCGAGGCCTAGGCAATATTTTTATGGCTACAATATTGAGTTAGCCGTTTTAAAAAATCGGCTCAAAACGAGCCGTTTATCAACACTACCTCCCTCTCCCCCCAAAAATGTATACAATATATCACTATGAACAAGAATTTGATAAAAATCATAAAAGTTTAAATTTTAATAACTACTAATTTAAATTTTTAGAAAAATAGCATTTTTAAAAGTGAAAACCCAGAATTATTTTTCAATCCAACATAGACAAAGGCCTAAAGACCTCTCATAAAATATTTGGGGAAAACCCACTTAATAGTGCCCCCCCCCTAGCACCTGGTTACGCTTATGAACAGCTGGAAGATCTATTAAATAAATGAAATCAACCAAATTATTTACAATATTTTTTGTGAAATGTGATTTTCGATAAATCTACTCTTCAGTGTTGAATTATTTTATATCAGCAATAAAAAAGGGAAAAATTAGTTTCGAAATTATTTCTATTTACATTGTAATTCTTATGCCCAATTTTTAAAATAAAATATTAATGTAATGTTCCATATCCTTAAAATAATCACAATTCCAAAAATCAAGTCATGTGATTTATATAGATGACTTTGTCTTAAAATATCTTAAATAATAATACGAGCAAAATCATCTTAATAAAAACAGAAAAAGTTACAGACTCTTAGCAACGCTGAAATATCACTATTCTGATAAAAAAATAATAATTTTTTTTAGCAATATATTAGTTTGATCTTTGTAATTTGCCCACTATAGTAAAACTTAATCTTAAAAAGAATCTATAATATCTTTCCATAATGAAGATACTACACGTAAATTTTTAACAATTCTCTCCTGTAAAGTTAGAAAAATGATATGGAACATTCTAATCCTCAGTCAAAGATATGTTGCAAATTGAATTTTTTTAAAATATACGATAAACCTTATGAATAATTTGAGATTGCGAAATGCCCATAAACGCCAGAAACATCTAATTTTTTCCCTCCAACACTTAGCATTTAAACGGTTTTAACGTATAAGCAAAATAATATGATTTCATTTTATTTATAATAATATTTATAAATAATATATAAACAAATATGATATTAAATATTACGTGAAATATATAAATTAAGTTAAAAATTAGAAATACTTTATTTTATAAAAGTCATTCATTCTTTTTATATTACCCGTTCAAATCAATAGCTAATAATTTTTTAAATTCAAGAAAAGCTTTCATAAATTTAATTGGAAGGCTATTTATCCACTTAGTAAAGGCCAAGTATGGGGATTCATTTTTATTAGCTTAAAATGATATGCAAATTCTTAAGCCCCCTTCCCCTCCCCGTCGACGCTGATTATGAAACGGATAGTGCTCTCAAATAGTATTTTTAAAAAAAAGGATACGATTAATTCGAATAATTTTAGATTTATAAAATTTTATTCTAAAATTCATGAATATTTTCTGGATAGTAAAAAAATTATTCGAATATATTTCATATGCATTTTGTAGTTTGTAACTATTTTAATTTCTACCACTATTGTGAAAGGTATTACGCTTTGCTTTTAATTATTTTTATTCTATGATTTAACATTATGTAAGTAAAAGTAGAATGGGAAGTGATTTTCTAGTTTAATTATTTAAATCGCAAATTTCTTATTTTTTTAAACAGATAAATAATGGCATTAATTTTTTATAAATGATATATGCTAAATGGGGGGGGGGGGGGTCACTATTAGGTTAATTTCTTTCTTTGAGAAGCGAAAAATTTTATTGCAAGCCTTTGGGTATGGTATATTTTTTTTAAATAATTTTGTTTTTCGCTTTTTTATTTTCCAAAATTTTTTAATTGTAATTATTATTTTAAAATTAACCTTTACTTATATTTCTTTCAAATTATTATTTATAATGATATCTTGTAATTTCATACATTTTTGGGGAAGGAGGGATCTTTATTAGCTTAAAATGATATTTACGAAGGCAAATTTCCAAAGGAGGATGGGGGAAATGCCCCTTCCCTTGGTTACGCTTATGTATGGATTTCAATTTATTTTTATATTATAATTTGGGGGCAATTTATTTATATTAGTGCTGTAAACGTTACTACAAAAAAGATACGCATTACCGTTACTCGTTACATCTGAAAAATGGAACGCGTTACCCTTACTCGTTACCATTTTACAAAAGGAACGCGCGTTGCCGACTTTTCAAAAAAGTAACGGGCTACTCGTTACTTAAAAAAATTAAATGTTATTTATAATGCAAAAGAATATTTATTTTTTTCCGATAATATATAATAAAATAAAACTATACAAAAAGAACATATAAAATAAGATCTTTTTATAATAAAATTTTCATATATAATTATGAATAAAATTATACAAAAATAATATATTATAAGATAACATCTTTATGTAACAATTTTTTATTTATTTTTAACAATTGATTTTCAAAATTTTGATCAGAAAAACATGAGCGCTTAGTACTCAACACAGCTTTCGCCGTGCTAAACATACGTTCAATTGGCGCAGAGGATGGGAGAGTGGTGTTATATTTAATAAACAAAAATTTCAATTCGGGGATAAGGAAATATCTTTATTTTGAAAAAAGCTTGAAAGATCATCTTCACAGATATCATTCATTTCCTCATCAAAAAAAATTTATCTTTATCTGAAAATATTCTAGTGTGTGTGTTGGATAAAGGAATCAAGCTTGTTCTTTCTTTATCAATATATTTTCTCAAACTGGAAATAAGTTCCAGCATTCTTCCTTTATTGACCTCTAATTTTATCCAGGGCCAATCCAATTTAAATAGTGGGTGAATTATTGCCGATAATATATATTCATCATCATAGATATGTTTGAATCTATTGAAAATATGATAGTCAAAATATAAATTATAAGCAATATTTGAACTGAATACCTTTTATCTATGGCTTTTCCAGGATTGAATCAATAAGCGGCTTACAAAACTTAAAATTATTTAAAGCCAATTTTTTAAGTTTTAATATTAAAATGGTTATAGTGGGAGCGAGATATCCCAAATGCATATTTTCTTCGCTCTCTGCCGTAGCTATCGGTTCCATAACCTATAAAATAATATATATCATATTATAATTAACACTAACCATACAATATTCATCTATGAACGACTTGTCGTTATCTGAAAATCTCTGTAATCCATATTTGTCGCAAGATTCATCAAATTTTTGGTAATTCACCTTAATAAGACTATTTATTAATTTTACAGAGTTATCGAAAGAATTCCCTCTTGTTATAACAGGTTTAATCAAATATCTTCCCATATTTTCCTTAAAAATGGCTGCACAGTTAGAAGATTGCCCATGTTTATTCCACAAAAGCTTACATTTAGAAAATGTAATTGAAATAGTTTTATAATGGACAGAAGTGGTTGATATGAATTAAAACTCGGCTTAAATTATTAATATTAAGAATTAAAAAATAAATAAAAGTAATTTTATAATACAATAAAATATGTTTTTCTTTTTATTGATATTTTTTAAGAAAAAATATGAAGTAACGAGTAAAGTAACGTTTTGCGTTATCGTTACTCAAAAAAAGAAACGCGTTACCGTTACTAGTTGCCTTTAGATAAAGGTAACGAATGGCGTTCCTTTTCTTCCAACACGTTACTTCACAGCACTAATTTATATTAATTTATAATTCAATTTGCGTATTAGATAATTTGTAGTATTTTAGTCACTATCCCTAATAAATTTCTGAAACTTAAAATCTTAAAATAACTCCTAGAATAATTCTAAAAAAAATATTTAATCCCCTCCCCCTTTTGCTTGGTTATGGTTAAGATATATTAAAATTTAATTATTTTTATTAATAACCTGTCAAATTTAACAGATCATGCAATTCTAAATGGAAGATTATTTAAATAAGGTCAGCTGGTGTTATGGCAATTTTTTCAGTTGGACCATAATCTTAAAAGTTAATTATTAGAATAATATTTGAATTGAACATCATCCGTTTAAGATAATGTCTATATGAATGAAATCAAAAATAATATACGAATAATATATTCAAATCGATATCCCCGAATACAGTTAGAATTAATAAATTATTCGATTCTTAAATCGAAGAACTAAAAGTGGCACGTAAAAAGTATAACCGTTTACAACGATTCTCAAAGGGGTCAGATATATTAAAATATTAGAACCGTACAATATTTTGTAAAATAAGATTTTTTTGGATCCAAATATGATTCTCAAACGGAAATAATTTACTAACGGGATGTTTGCAGAAAAAAATATAGAATTGAATATTTTATTATTTTTATTCATATATATTATTTCCATTTAATTAATAATTCACAGAACCTTTTCGTGAAAAATTAATGCATCCATCAAGTAACCAATAACATAAGTAAGGATAAAAAAGATTTTTAAATTTATTTTAAGGTTCCACAAAAAAGACTCAACCGAATTTGCTCACTATATTACATCATGGTCAGTATATATATAAAAAAAGTTCAATATTTATTTTGAATCGATATATTTAGAGAATACATTGTGTGGTCCTTTCAATTGCTCTGCTACCTGTGATATAAGTGGTAGTTACCTGCTAGAGGTACAGAAAATACTAAACAAAATTACTAGTTGTTTCTTGATTTGCGCTTGTAATTTCGGTAATTTTTTTTTACAATAAAAAAATTTATACATGTATATGTCTACCATAAATAATAAGTAAAAATAAATGTCAACTCTTCATCTGTGGTTATCAGCGAAATATCGATTGCCCAATCCTTAGGTATAATTATCCATTTATGTATTCTATATATTTAATAGCACCCGCCACTTGCTTTATAAATAATTGTGAGACTGTGCAAACGAGCGAATTTAGCAATTGGCAAAAAAATGCTTTTTACATTTGCGCTTGTCAAGAAAGTGAGTATACAACTTCCTATTTTTTTCTCTAAGAATTTTAGGTTCTCTAACCCTACACATATTTTTACGATATATAATTCATTAATGTGATCTAATATTTATAGGTGTATAAGTAAATATAATTTCATTTTTTATAAAATATTACCATTTAATAAAAATATTTTTAATATATTCACATAAATCCGGACAATATATTTTTTTTTTGATATTTAGGGTGAAGATAGTTATAAAGGAATTTCATTGGAGATATCGATTTTTTGTCCATAAATTATAGTGTTATTAGTTTTAAAAATATCTAATATTTTACATGCTGTTGCCCTCTTTTGTCAAATTCAATTTCTATTGTATAACTATAACAAGCATAAATTTATTTGTAAAAATAAAACTTTATACAAAATATTTGATAATTACATATGAAAATAAAATATAATTAAATAATTATGAGCCAAATAATTATTTAGTATATTATAATTAGTGTGCGTTGTTAACGATACTTTTGAAAAATAACTACTTATTGTTAAAATTCACATCGGATAAGTAACATATTGCATTTGCAATTAATTAATAAATAATTATCATTTTTTAAAAAATAATTATGATTTATTTAAAAACATAATTTAAATGAAAATAAAAATAAAAATAATAATTATTGTTAAATGCTTATTATATAATATTTATTATATCAAATGATATTAATTAACGTAATAAGAAAAACTAACACAGGTAAAAAAGTCTCAGAAAACCCAAAGAAAAAAAAACACGAGGCAGAAAATATAATACGGGTAAAAATCATTAAATATAAACAAATACCTTAGGTCTGCGAAACATTCATAAGCATTATTTTATCTAAGGAGTCTAGAGTCAAAACAATATTAAAATTTTGCTTAATTTCACCGAAATTAGATATGTGATAAGACCTGGCAAGCCTAGTTTAAAAATGTGGCATCTGTATCTGGATAAACTTATAAAGGTATCTGTATAGCGATACTATTTTAGAGGTATCTATATCTAATTTTAGACACATTTGATGTAATATTTTTCTTTTTTAAAATATTATTGTTAAATTTTTTTAGTAATATGCCAGAGTTCATTTCATTATAAAACAAGCAAGACAAATATTTTTTAGGAAATGGATGACGACATGTTAAATTTTATTTTATAATTTCTTTTATTTAAATTTATTATATATATATATATATATATATAATTTATTTTATATAAATATTAATTTAAAAAATATATATCATCATATTTTTAATCAATATTTCTAAACAATCTCTGAAAAGTAATCAAAATATAATATAAAAAAAATTTGAGCACCTTTTAGATGATATAAATATTGATTAAAAAAAAAATTTGCAGGGCCCTTCAGTACACAAGGTGACCCTGAGGCCGTGCCAGGCCATTCTAATTCTCTTTATTACTTGTTATATATCTATAAATTCATAAAACGAGTATGTAAAAACAATTATCATTGTTAAAAATACATATAAAAAGGTAAACAACAATAGCGATATTTTAACAATTGTAAAATCATGGCGCTGGGGATCGGAAAATTTTTGAGGGTACTCTCTAAGGGTAATTTGCGCAAGATATTTAATTATAAAATTTGGTAAAAAGTAAAATAATTTTGCGCAGCCTATTTATAGGCCTAACCTTATTTCTCCCTTAGGGGTGAGAGGGGGGAGCCCTCAATAAGTTTTCCCGATCACTGGAAGTTTATGAGGATTTCTTTCGATATCTCTCCACTCTATTTAGAGATTATCGTCGTTAAGATTTATTTATTAGTTAAATATGGTTAATAATTATATGGCAAACATTATGTTTTATAATATTAGTAATATGGTGTTATTGTAGGGGTGGGAGCGGACGTTCCTCAGGGCTGGCATGTTCTTCGTTGTCTAAAAGCTCTCCTGCGCTCATGGTGTCCTTTCCCTGAGAGATCCAACGTTTCATCAAAAATCGCCGGATCGAATTCGATAAGCATCTCCTCTAGCGGCGAGACGTTCGGGACGTCGGGCTCCTCTTCCACTCTGTGAGGTGTGGAGGCCCTCATCTACGGTAATGCTTGATCGATTGGGGGCAAAACCTCCACATCGTGTAGTATATTATTCGCCGCCTCGTCTAGCACCTATTCCCTGCTGGGGTGCTCCCCCTGATTCTCCTCAGAGGCAATCCATGTAAGGTTCCTTGCCAAGTGCAAGAACTGGCGAAATCCGATGGATAGCATTAATTTTGTGACCAGGACTTCACAAGCCAGAGATCGGGAACAGCCCTTCTTGATGATCGTGTATGCTACTTGGCTGTCTGTGGCAATAGAAGGTACTGATTCATATTTATTTAACCCATATTTACAGCCGACCCATATCGCTAATAGTCCCTTTTGGTTGATGTGGGGAGGGTAGTCCGGGTCTTCGTCGAAGGTGAATGACCCGACGAATTTGCATAAGTTTTTTTGCGATTCATACTTAATTTGGTCTCACCCCCAAGCGGCTAATTTTGCGTAGGTTTGGGCTTTTGCGGTGACATCCCTTAAGTATTCCATTGATGAGCGGGAGATCTCTCTAACGTATATTTTTAACGATGGTAATTCGAATAGGTCACGCCCTTTAAGTTTACCTGGCATGCGTTCCGCTAGACATATGACATTGAGGAAGTGCTTAGCTTCTGATGAGTTTATTTTTTCTGTTTCTGCCATGATGTTCAAGGTGCGGATCTCCACCTCTGAAAGAATAAACTCCGTGGATTCCTTGGTCAGATCAAGGCATGGAATATCCTCTATTTCAGGGGCGAAGAAATTTTTCGGTTCCCTACTAGTTGACGGTTTTTGTTCTGTGTCTAAGAAGGGGTTTTCCGAGAGCGATCTATTCAGCAGCGGGGAGGGAACAACTGTAGTGTCCAAACTAGGCGTTTTCTGGCTTCTCTGATTTTGAAACATGGCTATCAGTTCCGATAATTGTCGCGTTGTGGTCTCAAGCTTGGTGTTGATGTTAGTGATATCGTTACCAGTGCTTTGAAATCCTTCGTTCACCGTGTTTCGGACTACTTCTAATTCAGCTTGGAAGCTTGTTCTACCATCGACTTACTAGATCTTGTTTCGACCGTTTTAGCTAATTTTAGAATTAAATAACTAAGTTTATCAACAGCAAATCCAAAAAATTTTGAGGGTACCTATGGGTAAGTTGCGCAAGATATTCAATTATAAAATTTAAAAATAAATAAAATACATTAATTATTACAATCACTCTTTCGGAATTAAATAAGGCTAAAAATATCTTTACAAATAAACAGGGGTGTATAAATGGTAAAAATGAATATTTGATTATTAAAATATAAGAATATTTATAATCATTTAATTATATACTTTGTATATGAATAATTAAAATCTAATAATCATTATTTTAATTATATATTTGTATATAGATCTGTTATCAACTAAATAAATTTTTTAGCTCACTTTGAAATTTGAATTTAACAATGGAATCCTAAATTTTTTAACTTACTTTGAAATTTGAATTTAACAATAGAATCAAAAGTTAAGCAATTCTGTATCTAGATACGTGTAGATCCATTCTTGGTTCATATATCTGTATCTAGATACATTTTAAAAGTGTCTTTTAATAACTATACCGACAAGTAACTAAGTGTTAATGGAGGGGTTATACAGTTTTACTCGATTTTGAGGACAAAAGATAAAATTTAAAGTTTAGAGAGATCTGGGATTTTGTTAATATTAATATCCAATATAATGATATGCACATGATTTGATGACTATTTATCCATTAAAAAAAATTAATGGGCGTGTTTGGGTGGATAGAAATTTTGTGTAAAACACAAAAATTTAAAAATCCTTGATAACGAAACCTATTTTAATATACATTTCATAACAATCTAGTTTTCCTCCAGAAACTACCTATGACTATGCCCAAGATGTGATTTCATTCTCAAAATTTATAAAAAAAAATTTATATTAAATTTTTCAAAATTTTATATAATGGTTTGAAGTTTGAAAGCTTATATCTTTATTCATTAAGGTTTTCGAATTTTGTTAATTTAAAATCCTTTCTTGTTTTCAAAAAAATCAGCTACAAAAATATTCTCAGCGTCATCTAGGTCAGCATCCAGTGATCGATAATTTCTGTAGCCAATAATGTTTTACTAGAAGTAAGATGAATGCAACTAAAATAAATATCAGCATCTTTTTTTAATAAAAATGTTAAGTTAGAGATGTGACTTGAGTGGCGAATTCTAAATTGTTGCAAAAATATAATAAGATGATTTTCTTATTTGTGTAATGGGTTAAAAAGGGAGAATTATAATAAATGAATAATAAAAACTTCAAAATAAATTTAAAGATGTGTAAAAATATTAATAATAATGATTTAAAAATTTCTTAAATTTTTAGGGCGTGATGATTAAAATATTTATTTTTATGAATGGGAGAGTTCGGATAAAAAAAATTGGGCATCAGCTGCGAATGGACATGAATTTTAAAGGAGTGGATGGGTCATGAATAAAAGTTTCAGTGTTTTAAACCAGGATTGGTAAGTCGGTCAATTGACTAGTCAAATTCAGTCAATTGACCGGAGGAGTATTAGATTTGGTCAAATATGGTCAAATATGGTCAAATACTCTAAAAAATCTAAAGAAAAAATTATTATTAAAATGTTTAAAAAAATTAAAAATAAATAAACACATGTTATCACAATGCTGCTATTTATTGGATCCCCAATATCAAGGGGAACTTATTACTAATAGTGTATTTAATGATGTATTTAATATAAATGATGATCAAAATATTTCAAATGACATCATAAACAGAGATAAAAGAGGTGTGTTTAATAGCAAATTATGTCAATACTTCAATATAAAACAAACAGATTCATATCTCAAAGTGGAATGGACTTTGTCTACCATGTTTATTAAGAGAAGAGCATTATATTAATAATCCCTAGTTCTACTTTA